ATCTGAGAAGCACTCAAACTGTGCCACAAACAAAATGCCAAATTCATAGGCATTTGTGTGGTTTGGGACACATAGTTGGTTCTTTCTACTGTCAAATTCATTAAAAATTTTCATCACATCCCTGTCTATAAAATGTTTTTTGTATGCGACCCAATATATGCACATTTGTTTTACTAAGTATATGCATGTGCATGGACCCATGAACAATGATTAGGTACGTTATGAAGCATACGTAAGGACAAATTTCAAACTAAGCTTGAAGGTGAAATATTTGAAAATCTGTTGCTAATTGTGGTGACTTCATACTATCCTTACTGTCTCAACGTATGATGTACACTGAAGGGTGAAGTTCATCATTAATAAAAATATATTGTAACCATTCTTCCTGAGCATTTTCATTATTTTCTGCTGACTTTCTTTTGATCTCAATAAACCGTCATTATTTTACCCTAGCGAGAAGCTTTTGAAGAGAAGGGTAGGGGGAGTCCAGATTATTGTTTTCTTGTGCTTGCATGATCAGCGCTATCTTTAGGCTGTGGTTTTGCTAGGAATGGGGCATTTTTAAACCACATGTCTGCTTTGTGATGGTTAGCTGAATAGAAAAATTTTAGGTTGGTGCAAAAGTAATTGTGGTTTTTGCCATTGAAAGTAATGGATTACTTTTGCCCCAAGCTAATAAATGATCTGTGCATCCCCTTTAGGGGCACATATAATTGTCATATAGGCAGCACTTCCCAGCGACGGTACTGCTGGCGGTCACCTTTCTTGGTCCAAGGTTCCTGATTCCTGCCATCTTACATGGGCCTTCCAAGAGTGGGCGCCAGCATCGATCCAGGTAAAACCATACAAAGAGGTTCTGACATTTCCTCTCCCTGTATCAAATCAGTTTATGCAGTCCCTGGAGTGAGCGAGCCTTTGTCCAGGAAATGATGGTCCCTAAGACTCCTCATCTCTGCCGCATGCTCTAGGAAGGGCTGCCCTGGGGAAAAGCGTCCTTGGGCTTTTGGGCTGAAATTTTACAAATGTTGGTACTCAGAAGCCCAGGGGATCTGCGGATGGCAGAACTGACCGAGTTCACAGTAGCCCACCTGATTACGTGCTTTGTTATCCTTTTGAAAGCCTGAACAGTTTGCAGTTTGTTGCAGGGGGCGGGAGAAGGGGGGACTCCTTAGAAAATCTGATAGTGATGGCTTCTTGCTTGAGAAAAATGCACACACAGAATTTCCATCCAGTTTCAGAGGATTCAGCCATCTCCTGAAGCTCAGTATGAAGAGCTTGTTTAAAAGTGAAAAAGGCAAGTTAGCTTTGGAAGGCCTCGGTCTTTTGTCTCAAAACTTTTCCTGAAGCCCCTTTGAGTTTCAGACCCTGCTTATTGCACGGAGGTCGGAAGGAGCCCAAACTTTGATTTCAAAGACATTCAGGTGTGCATCTCCTCTCCATCCCCGCACTGCTTAGTGAGTTCACATGGGCAGTGTCTCACTCTATGAAACGGATTATGCTGATTGACACCTTGTCACCTGCCCCTCTTTGTCTGCCCTATTCCAGTGTCATTGGCCTTTGTGTTTATTCTCCAAATAACTCAGCTCTTTTCCGCCTCAGGGCCTTTGCGCTTTCTGTTCTCTCAGCCTGGAATGCTCTTCCCATCCTCGTCACGTGACCAGCTCGTCACTGTTCAAGGCCCATCTCCAGCGTCACCCCCACACACAGGCATTTCCTGATTTACACTGCATCTCTCCCTTCGCTGTTTATTTGTAACTTAAAAGTATACATTTAGTGGTTTTTAGTATATTTAGAAAGTATACTTTAAGAAAGTAGTTTGCGATTCAATGCTTTTTCATACATAGGTTGGTGCAAGAGTAATTGTGGTTTTTGTCATTACTTTTTTTTTTTTTTTTGAGACTGAGTTTCACTCTTGTTGCCCAGCCTGGGGTGCAGTGATGTGATCTCGGCTCACTGCAACCTCCACCTCCCAGGTTCAAGCAGTTCTCCTGCCTCAGCCTCCTGAGTAGCTGGGACTACAGGTACCCACTCCCATGCCCAGCTAATTATTGTATTTTTAGTGGAGATGGGGCTTCACCATATTGGTCAGGCTGGTCTCAAAATCTCGACCTCAGGTAATCCTCCTGCTTCATCCTCCCAAAGTGCTGGGATTACAGGTGTCAGCCACTGCAACCAGCTGGTTTTGGCTATCGTGTCTAATGGCAAAAGTCGAAGTTCCTTTTGCACCAACCTAATACTTAACAAAGTTGTGCAACTATCACCACTACTTACTCCCAGTCCACTATCTAATTTTAATAAGGTTTTCATCACCTTAAAAAAATACATATCCATTAGCAGTCACCTCCCTCTCCCCTCCTCGTGTCCTCTGGTAACCACAAATCTACTTTCTATCTTTATGGATTTGCCTATTCTGGACATGGGATATCAATGGACTTATACGATGTATGGCCTTTTGTGTCTGGCCTCTTTCCCTGGGAATAATGTTTTCAAGATTCATTCACGTTGTGGCAGGTACCAGTGCTTCATTCCTGTGTATGGCTGGAGAATATTCCTTTTACCGTAATACGTCTCGTGTGTCCATTCATCAGCTGATGGCCATTCGGGTTGTTTCCACTTGTTAGCTGTTGTGGAAATTGCTGCCTTGCCCCCAGGCTCTCTGGATCACATTACTCTTATTTATTTGATTTGCAGCCCTTGTTTATTTACCTAACATGTTTATTTAAAAAAAAAAATCTTCTCCCATAGAATATAAGCTTCGGGAAGGCAGTAACGTTGTTCATCTTGGGCACTGCTGTATCCTCAGGGCCTTATATAGTGCATGGCACGTAGTAGATGATAAATATTTGTGGAAACAATGAAAGAATGAGAGCTGTTGTTATTCTCTCATCTCCGTAGACCCAGTCTTTTCCTCTAATTCACGTGGGGCTCTTGCTGTGCTGGCTTCTCACAACACGGCTGTTCTGAGAAGTATGTGCACTAGTCCGCGTAAAGTCCCTGTGTTACCTCTCTCTCACATCCCAGATGTCTTCTCACCAGCTGTAGTTCTTACCCCATGACTCCATTGCTCCATGATCAACAATTCCCCCATGCATGCTCGGGGCCTCTGTGGCCTTAGCACAGTCTCACATTTGAATGTGTACCAGATTCTCGCAGACTGCTGGGTGAAGTCCAGCCGTGGATTCTGACTTGGGAGGGCTGGATGGATCTGAACATTTGCATCTTAACAAGTTCCCAGGCGACACTGCCAGGACACTGACACTGTTGATAGGCGGACTGTTGTTTGAGAATCACTGCTGTAGTGTGGTAAATTTCAGCAGACAGGCCCCAGCCTGTCTGTGTGGGTCTCCCGCAAACGGTTCCTCCTCCTCCTGTGTCTCCCAGTGAGTGGGCTCAGAGGGCTCTGGCCAGCTAACAGCTTGGGGGTATATCCCCAAACATGGGAATACTACTTGTGGGTTTGTGCCCTGGAGAACTTCTCCCTGGTACAGAGGAGGCCTGTATGAAGATGTTTATTGGTCAGCTGTGGTGGCTCATGCTTGTTTGTAATCCCGACACTTTGGGAGGTGGAGGTGGGAGGATCACTTGAAGCCGGGAGTTTGAAACCAGCCTGGTCAACATAGTAAGGCCCCGAGATCGCGTCTCTACAAAACAAATTAGCTGGGCATGGTGGCATGTGCCTGTGGTCCCAGCTATGCAGGAGGCTGAGGTGGGAGGATTACTTGCACCCAGGAATTTGAGGCTGCAGTGAGCCATGATCACACCTCTGCACTCCAGCCTGGGTGACAGAGCAAGACCCTACCTGAAGAAAAAATAAAAAAGATGTTTATTGCAGTGTTGTTTATCAGGGTCGGCGAGTTGGTGACCATCTAGATTGCCCATAATTATGGAAATGACAAATAGGGCTGATAGTCTGCTGGTTTGCAATGAAACAGTTGGTTTTTTGTAGCTGCCATCCATTCTGATGGGTTTCTGATGGGTCAGTTCCTCCACCAAACTGTTGCATTCCGGCAGGTAAGTGAAATGTGGGGATTGCATATGAGGGAATACTGTGCAGCAGTTGCAAGGGATGGAAGTGATTCACATTCAGCAATACGGCTAATGCTCACTTGTGAACAAAGGAAGAAAGGGAATGAGGTTTATGATAAAAACACTGTTTATGTAAAACACACATATACAACAATACTACAAAATATGTATCTTTCAATAGTCATATAATCTGAATAAACACATGATGGATAGTAAAGAGAAAAAAATGTGTTGGTAGGTCTGATCTTAGGTGCAATATCTGTTTGACAGTTCTCTGTCTGTTCTACGTATGAACACTGAGGTTTTTTTTTTTTTTTTGCTAAGTTTACATCTAATCATGAAGGTCACTGTCATGTCATAGCTTGAATTGTGTCTCCATCCCCCTACACAGTCCAGAATTACTGAGGCTCAAATGCCTGTGCCACAACTTACTGGCTCTGTGACCTTCAGCAGCTCGATTCACCTCTCTGAGCCTTTGTTTACTCCTCTGCAAGGAGCAATAATCCTCATAATGTGTTTTGTGCTGCTTTGTTTAGTTAAGACATGTAATGCAATTAGCATAGTGCCTGGCTTATGGCAAATAATAAATGTTATCTAGTGTTACTAATACGGGGCCATTGCTGTACATGAAGGGTTGATATCTAGTGTTAGATATCAAGAGAGAACCAAATCTATGGACTGCAGACACATTACATGTATTCATCATTTAATCCTCTTAAAAACTCGGTGGGGTAGATATTCCTGTTATTACGTGGCTGTTGTGAGAAGTGCAATATTGTGCATCAAGTCCCTGGGTAACCTCTAATTACAGTGATTGCATTTACTTAGGTTTTTCTGTATCCCACCCCTAACTAGAATGGTGGCTCCATGGAGCAATCTGCCTTGCCTTTTGTCCACCAGCTCGGTACTCAGTGCATCACAGCTGCCAATCATTGGGTTCTGAATGAACAGATTTAAATTCATTCTTCTTCCAGGGCCCTTGCGGATGTCATGAGGCCACAGGGCCACTGCAACACTGATCACATGGAGAGAGACCTGAACATTGTTGTCCACGTCCAGCATTACGAGAACATGGACACAAGAACCCCCATAAATAATCTTCGTAAGTACAACTGCATGAACCATTTCCAGTCCCATTTGGTGACCTGAGTGGTGGTCACATTGCCAGATTTCATGGAGTGTGTGTGAGAGTTAAGAGCCTCTCTTTGTGGGCAAGTTAGAAGCTTTCTTTCATCTCTTTTGGATGAAGCTGAATTTGGCATCATCAGATGTCACTTGGTTGGTTTCTTTGTTAAATAGGAATCCACTTGGTTGGTTGGATCACATGATTGGTTCTTCTTTTAACTAGTAGACTGCTCAATTGGTTCATCTTGATTGATCTGTTAACTAGATTAGTGGCTCTCTTGTTTGTTTCACCATGGTTGGGTACTTAGTTAAGCAATGGATTATTGGGTTGGTTCATTTTAGGTGGTCAATCTATTAGTCAGTGGTCCATTCGCTTATATGTCTGCCTCCTGAGGTAGACCAGTTGTAACTTCTAGGTTTCCTGCTGTTTTCAGTTATGAAATACTAGTTCAGAAGAATTATGTCTATGATTTGTAAAGCTAGAGTTTCATAAAAACAATCCACAAAATACTCTATGTGTAGGGGGTGCAGGGAGTGGGTATTGAATTTTGGTCCTGTTGATTTGAGGTTCCTATGTGTGATTCAGCAGCAGCAAATTCGTTTCCATTGTTCTGCAAGGGGGGAAAAAACTGTGTTTGCTATTGTGTTTCAATAGGTATTTTTCACAGAGCATGATTGGGATCTTGGTATACTCCCAAGGCTTTTCTTCCCTTTCAAAGGTCTGTATATACAATATACATCACGGAGCTGATGCTCTGACTAATGAGACTGGATGAAAAATAAGATTGTTTGGTTTTTGACAATAGTGTACTACTGCGGTTACCCCAGTAATTATGTTTTCAAGTAACCCCCACGTTAAAGTAATGTGGAAGGCTTGGTTTAAAATAAGCAAAGCCAGACAATTTAAAGGATACATTTAGTTGTGGCTGGAGATTCCTGAAAGCAGAAACAATTCTAGTGCTGCACATTTTAACAGACTGGGTCGCCTTTGCTGAGGCTCCGCTAGGAGTTGCCTGGGTGTTTTATATGCTGAATCATAGTTTTGGACTGTTTGGTTGCAAATTCTCATGCTCATTGGATAGAGGAAGAAGCCTGTGGAGTTCGACTGAGGCGATGTGGATTATCTGATTCTGCATAGTCATGATTCTTCATGGTTTGGAAATTGTTGCAGTGTGTTAGTAAAGTCAATGTTTGCATGGTTTGAAAAATGGGCCACCAAATAGAATGTCTTAGGTTTCAGTATATTAAATAATGTAACATTATTAGCGAACGGGATCACAAGTGGTATAAGAAATAGCCACATTTTAGAGCAAAATACACAAGCAAATGGAAGTTTTATGACCAAATCCCATAGCCCCCAAAGATATGGTAAATGGCATCAATTCTAACATGGCAATCGCTGTGTCCGTTTCTGGCTTTACTGGAAATGAGCACATTTTCTTTCACTTGGCTCTGGGAAATAAGCTGAACCTAGTTATATGCTTGGGTCCCAAACATCATATGTGAATGAACATGATCAGGGAACAGAGAAATTGAAATGGTGTTGAGTCCCTGGCTATAAAAGGCAATTGCTAACAGGTTCTTCACTGGAAGTTCCAATCTCTAGAATGATTTTCAGTCAGCACTCAGATGAAATAACAAACTCATTGGAGTCACCCAACTTTCATCATTCCATCAGGCGGCAGGAAACCTTAATGAATGTTGCTTATGTAAGGCGTTTTCATTGAAAGTTGTACTGAAAATGGATTACTGTTCAGAGATGGATGTCCAGGCTCTAAATAATTCAGAAGTCTCTTGCGCCAGGCTACTTTGGCTTATTTATGATTCTTGCATTTGGTCTGTATTTGTGACTAAGTAATCAGTGATCTTTTACATCAAGGGAGAAAGTGTCTTGTAATAGTCTATTGGGTAGCAGTAGACTAGAGAATTCCTGGGAAGCTACAAAGGAGAATTCCAAGAATCATGCTACAAACACTGTATTCTTACAATAATTGCCAACGATGTTAATTTTATACAATTCTTCCAGGTTGATGCAATTCTTCTTTCCTAGCCGTCTTGGGAATATCTGAATAACAAAAATAAGAAGCATGTGACCTTTTTACCAGTTTATATTAATAAGCTTAACATGTTAATTCAGTAGCTGACAGTAATAATAGATTTCCTTATCTTTTTATTGATTTGTAGGAGTTATTTACGTATTACAGACACAGAAAAACATTTGTATGTTTGGATGAACAAATGATTTGAGGAGTTCATTGAGAGAATAGGACGAGATGACTGATATTAATCAGTTAAGGGTTTAAGAAGCCAAGCAGTCGTCAGAGAACATTTTGATTGATAGCAAAGTAGAAGGGACGGTATCCGGTCTGATAAATGGAAAATTAGACCAGCCCTTTGTGCCTGAACCAGAATGCATCCATTTAATGTAAAACCCTTTCCTGGACATTATGGAATCTACAATGATTTGCCATTACACATTTGGAAAGAATGATGCATCTATTTGTGATACACCAAGAAGGGCACATCATGCCATTTTCAGTTTGTTTTTCACTGAACATCCAACTTGCTAGGTTTGACTGGGCATTCACTAGTCTCAAGTTAAATGTCATTTTCATGTCTTTTCAATCACCCACTCGACATTGCCTTAAGAAAATGCTAATCTCCATCTATTTATCTCTTCTTAATACTAGCTGTAGGTCTCTTTCTATTCTTTCCCTTAAGCTTTAGTCAAATGGTGAGATAATTGATAGCCAGTGTAGAAATCTGGATATTTGGAAGAAGGGCAGTGGAGAGGTGAAGGCGAACGGGGAGGAAAGAGAAAATTTTTGTCAACTTTTCTACATTAATTTTTCTGGGGTTGATTTTTCCTGTGATATGTTGGACTTGCCTTTTTATCTAGAGTCGGATTTTTCTTCAGCGGATGCTGTTCATGTTCTTTCCAGGCATTCAGTGGTATTGCCTAAAAATATTTAGTCTGATAATCAAAAGGGCCTCAACCTCTTTGATTAACAGGATGTAGTTTCCCGTGAGATGGTGATTTTCTGCAAATGTTCCTCAGATTCTATATAATTATCATTTGTTTTTGAAGGCACATTTTGTCCTTAAGTGCTATGAACATATTCTGCCTCCCCTACCCCGACTTCCCTGGCTGCCAGTGACACCAATCTCCCGTGTTGGGAGCGCAGGCTGCATGTAGGCTCCATTTGGTCTTTTTTTTTTTTTTTTGAGACAGAGTCGCGCTCTGTCATCCAGGCTGGAGTGCAATGGCACAATCTCAGCTCACTGCAACCTCCGCCTCCCAGGTTGAAGTGATTCTCCTGCCTCAGCCTCCCAAGTAGCTGGGATTACAGGTGTGCACCACCACACCTGGCTAATATTTGTATTTTTAGTAGAAATGGGGTTTCACCATGTTGGTCAGGCTGGTCTTGGATTCCTGAACTCATGATCCACCCCTGTGCTTCCAGGAGTGCTGGGATTACAGGCATAAGCCCCTGTGCCGCGCCCCATTTGGTCTTCTTAAGTATGGGAGACGTGAGTGAGGGGCTGTGGCCAAAGCCTGGATCAACATTTCTCAACTTGTTTGTGTTCACAGCGCATTTTTTGAAATATGTCTTTTGTTTTGGAGTCCATTTTAAAATTTACAGCAGAAAGGTTGCAGAAGATAGTACCCAGAAAAATGAATAAGACCTGTTTGATAGCACAACAGGCTGACTACGGTCAATAATAACTTAATTGTACGTTTTAAAATAATTTAAAGAGTGTCATTGGATTGTTTGTAACTCAAAGGATAAATGCTTGAGGGCATGGACACCCCATTCTCCATGATGTGCTTATTTTACATTGCGTGCCTGTGTCAAAACATGTCATGTACCCCATAAATATATACATCTACTATGTATCAGCAAGCATAAAACAACAGCAGCAGCAAGAACAGCAAAAGATAGAACACAGACTTCTGTATACTCCTCACCCACTTTCCCCGATATCAACATTTGACATCACCAGGGCACGTTTGTCAAAACTAAGAAATCAACATGAGTACATTCCTTTTAGCTAAACTGCAGACGTTGTTTGGATTTTGCTAGTTTCTTCACTGATACTTCTTTTCTGTTCTAGGTCCCTTCCAGGATACCACATTGTCTTTAGCAGAGCACACTTTGATTATAGACTTTTGGTTGGGCAGTATTGCATAATGATGTGGTAAAGACAGAAAACAACACTACACAAGCCAGAAGCAATTATAGATCCTTGACTGCCACAGTGCAAAACGTGTCACCTAGTGTCTATAAAGACAATTACATAAATTACTCTCTTTGGGTCAGTGTTGAAATGGAACCAGTTGCTTGTCTGACTGTGCTCTTGTGTATATTCATGGGACAAAGACTTTCATGTCCCACCCACCCTTACCACCCCTCTTTGAATCTGGGTTATGCTGTAAAATAAATCATGTTGTTACATAATTTATTTTATAGCATAACCTGAGCAAGTGAGAAGAGGTGTTGACTTGATGTTTTAGAACACAAAATCCATCAGAAAGAGCAGGCTCCTCTTCCAGCCCATCACACTTTTGCTCTTCTAAGATAATTCCCAAATGGATTTACAAGGAACCCCAAAGCTGACCTATGGCTTAGTTTATGATGACATTGTATACCTCATATCTAGGACTATTTATGAGTCCATATTTACTGAGGTACCTGGGAGGTCCTACACTTAACTTTTGAAAATATTACCAAATATTTAACATATTTGGGAGGTCGAGCATGGCTCAGACGTATAGTGTCAGTGCTTTAGGAGGCAGAAGCAGGAGGATCATTTGAGATCAGGAGCTGGAGGCCAGCCTGGGAAATAAGGCGAGACCCTGTCTCTAAAAAAAGTAGAAATAATTAAAAAAGTAACTGAACATGGTGGCTCATACCTGTAGTGCCAGCTACTTGGCAGGCTGAAGTGGGAGATTGAACTCAGGAGGTCAAGGCTGCA